CCCCGTCAGCACAGCTCCCCGAGGTTCATCAGGGGGCGGGTGGTCACGGCTGTTTTCAGGGTCGTGACTGTGCGCAGGGTCATAGCTGTTCACAGGATCGTGACTTGTGGTGCTCCGGGTGGGTGGGTGGTCCTCGAAGTGGGGTACAAATGGTGCATCCTCCTCCTCACCTGTGAAGTCAGGGATGGCATAGTGGGGAGCAGCTGTCCTCACACCCTTGGGGATCACGCTCAGGAGGTCATTTGTGGCTAAATCCCCAGGCTCTGTCTCTCCTTCACCGTGCACAGAAGCAGAAGCATTTGCTTCCCTGGGCAGATGGTCCTGGCTTTCTCCTCCCCCTGGCTTGGCGGTGTGCAGGACATCAGCAGGCATCTCACGGGACCCCTCCACATCGTTGGTGCTCAGCCCTGGCTTTTGTCCTTCGCCTTTGGTCTCCTTCTCTGTGAAGGGATAGTAAGACAGATCCTCGTGGAAGTTGATAAAATTATAATCATAGTAAAAATCGTCAACAAAGACATTTCCCTTCTTGGCTGAGAAGTCCTCCTCAGTGATGATATTGACATCATTGGACTCCGGAACGTCAGGAATTATGGGGTTAAATTTAGCAATGTGGTTGCTGGGGATGTAATGGATTTCATTAAATATCTCTCTGCTGGAGGAGCCGCTGCCAGACCAGTCGGTGTTGGCATTGTCTGACTTCTGGCACTGCGGCGACGAGCAAATAGTTTCCGAGCTGGGTCTCTCTGCAGGGTCACAGGCGATGCCGGTGCTGTTGCTGCAGTAAACAGGGCGTCTCTGTGTCCCGTTTCCACACGTCACCGAGCACTGGGAAAGGAAGGGAGAACACACACATCTCGGGGAGCAGCAGGAGGAGTGGGGAAGGGGCCAGCAGTGCATTCCCAGCAGCGTTCGAGCCCCCCACCCGTGCTCCCCTCTGATACCAAAGCGGGTGCTCGACCGTCCCACGTGCCACGATGCTTTGGGCACGGGGCAAAGGGGCTCTGCCTCGCTCTGCCATGCTCCCATCACCCACGTGGGTCTCGAGATGTCTCCTGTACCTCTCCCAGTTGAGGCAGGGGGTCCCCTGCACCAGGAGCTGGGAGCAGGGTGGGGGTACTGGTCACACCAGTAAGTGACGTTATCACTGGCCAAATCTACTCCAGGGCTGCCTCCCCGTTACAGACCCTCCCAGCTCGGGGCTGCTACTGCTACTTTGCTCGGGGTGATCCTTGACCTGCACTCCAGCCAGAAACAATTTTCCCGGGAGACAGACGTTGGGTAAGATGATCTAATAGATCTTTTCCATGACCTATGGCCATGAATTACATCTCTTCTTCTAGAAGAGGATTTTTTTGAAGCAGAGGATAAAAACACGGGTGTTGTCCTAGTAGAGAAAAAGCAAGGGTCAATAAACAGCTTTGCTGAGGACACCCCGTCTTCCATCATAATGGTCTCTTTGAGATTGCTCGGTCTCAAAGAAACCCACGCGCCGGAGAGAAGGGCAGCAACATTTTCTGCTGGGTAAGTAAATCATCGTGCCTCCAACATCACATGTGGGCTGCACAAGCCACGGGGCCCTGCAGTTTGTGGTGACAGAGCGTTAGTCACGTACATCAAAGTGCCTTCAACAACCCAGCCAAGGAGAACAAACAGCCAACAAGGCAAACCAACCCGACGGAGGGGTTTTTTTTGGCTTGAGCTAAAATTTCTCAGCAAACGCCTGCAGCTCCATCCAGGAGATAAACTCCAGGTATCGCAGCTCTCGCAGGGGGAAGGAGGGGGGTTATTTGCCAAGGCTTGGTTATCAGGAAACCTCTGGGACACAGATAAGAAAGGGTGGCTGTCAGAGGAGTCTCATGGAGGAACACCCAGAGCTTGCAGGAGGGTTCAGCATCACGAAGATGCCTGCCAGAGCCTCACCAGGCTGCACCGTGGGACGTGCTCCGGACAGGGGACGTTCAGGTATTAACAGGCAACAAATAATAATTCTGATAACCTCTTTCCAAGGTCCCTAAAGCTGGACACACAAATCTCAAGTGTTTAAGCACTTTGTTGGGCTGCCCAAACTGCAAATAACGCCTTTGGCTCCACAGGCTGCCAGTGTGCTGCCCGTACAGGAAAAGTGGGGCGGGAGGATGATGTTTCTGCAGAACTTCCAAGCCCCTCAAATTTCTCTACTCAAAATCTTGAGCACATTTGTCCCAGGCTCACAGATCTGCTGATGTCAGCCCCACAGAGGATGACTGTGATGGCTTGAGCTGGCTCCGTGCACCGACCCGCCAGCAATTCATGGTTTTCCCTTTAAACTGTTGCAGTCATTGTTTCTCAGTCCTGCAGTTGTGGCTTTTGTGGGCCCCTAGAAAAATATTTCTAAATAGCTCTCATTTAGCCTTCAAATTTTCTGCTCGCATTTTTATTCCGATTGTTTCTTAGCAACAAGCTCAATTCCCAGGCTCTCTCATTTCTCTCTCGATATTTGTCTTCACGCTGAACGCTTTTTGAAGCGACTGCTTAAATTAGGAGTTATAATTTTCTGGTTAAAACCCTCGACCTGCGGTTAAGCCGATCCACAGAAATACCAAACTAAATAAAGGCTACACAGGGTGTCCAGGGACCATGGCATTTTATACATGGTGAGGTTTTTTTTTGTTCTTTCCCTCTCTTTTTTTAAAAAAAAAAACATGCTGAAAAATTTGCTGTGCCCCCCAGCCCATTCCCATCACTGAGGAGGTGTGTGGTGTCTGTCTGTGCCCAGCCCTGCAGCAGAGATGGGGCAGCTTCAGCCCAGAGCATCCAGACCCCGGCTCGCCCCTAACACCTTCCCTCAGCAGGCAAGAAATATCTTTAAGGCTTCTGTCACAATGAAGGGGAAGGCTTGCGGTGCTGGAAAACAACTGGGGGGTTGAAAGCCCCTTGTTTCTGCCCTCCTCGCGCGAAGCACCGAGCGTGGCTGTCACCCTGCTGAGGGAGCGGCAAGGTTCAGAGAAGA